CACTGGGTGTACATCTGCTACCCCGCAGGTCATTGTATAGGCCATATCGCGTTCAGTAAGCCACTACAATACTACATGGAAGTATAGTGCGTGTCGCATCCCAAAAAGGGATAGGTTTGCGTGCAGCTTTCTTATTAAAGGACCGTGAACATTTGGTTCTCTGCGCGTGTTAGATATTCTGAGGATCTGCTACGAAACTGCACAATTAAGGGGACGGGAGGGTCATTTTATAAAATCCTGTGGAACTACTGATCTGTTTCAAGAGCGGTTCTCTTTCGATTTTGTCACAGTTAGTCCAAATACGTAGTTACTCTCTGCGGTTCAAGATTTATAAGGCAGGGAAGGGAGGGGGGGGTGGCAAAAAAACACGTTGCTTATGAGGTGCAGCATCAAAGTTTACTGCACCTGGAAGATCATGAGGAAATAAGCCCAAAATGTACTCAATAATAACCCCGAAAAGGAACAGGGACAAGCGAGCTATACCAACCTCATGGCCACGACTAGGTGGTGCCCCATCCTTCATAGTTGAAGAGCTCAACAAACCCTAGAGGAGTGGCATAACTGCGGAGCAGTCCTGTGATTGCGAGGGGGGTACCCTTGACGTCGAAGTCTGCTGGCCGTGGATACTGATTGCTGCCTCGGCGTTTACTCGCAGATGTGAGAATGAGAGCGACTTATCTTGCTGTTCCGGTGGAACTGTTATCTCAGTGATATGTATACGATCAATTTCCTCTCCCGAAGGTAAAGCTTTCGCCTGTTACTCATTCTGCTTTTAGCATGCGGCTCGCATGCTTATTTCTGTTCAAAATCTTGATGAGCTACTAAATGCAATATGCCCTATACAATACAATGAACTGTGCGGCTAGGTAATGTAGAAGGCAGTGCTTCATCCTCTCAGATGGTTTACCCCTCAAGAGGGTGTAAGGCTTATTCTAGGGTCGATCCAGGGCTTGTCTTTAGACCGCGCAAGTAGTAAACGGCTACATAAAGTTGTGTGAAGGTAATAGTACGTATTTTATATACTTTGGGTTTGCAAGTTTACGGTGACTGCACTATCGCTCATAAACTCATGCGTTGGTTGATCACCGGTGTTCGCTACACAGCCTAAGCCTCGCGCGAGTCCTAAGCAATCCATTTGTCATTACAGCCTCCTTCTGAGCAATGTTAACTTTGTAATATCACTGAGAACGGATGCAGTTGGAAGCAGTTGATTCCACAGTACTTTTAGTTCAGAAAAAGTGGATTGTTCCTTTTTAGGTCGAAGTAAGAGCGATGGGTCTGATTAACCGTCGTCGTTACTGGTATGTTGTCGATAATGTTTCACCTTATTTTTACTGGTACAAAGACCACGACTCACTGAAATGTGACGGACGTATACCATTAGCTTGTATGGCATTGACTTATGATCCTCGCGAAACTGGTCGATTTCACATACTGTGAGTGTTTGGATGCTTGATGTACTTCATGTCTTCGATTCTCCTTCGACAATCATTAGCTTTCATTCTCATTTTTTTATCAAGGAACTAGAAACTGTAAAAGCCCTTGAGTTATCCTTATTATTTTGTATCTGTTTTTTAGCTTGAATTCTTCTTGAACATCTTTCACGTCCGCAACGAGACAGCGTTCATACTTTTCGTCGGCGTTCAGGGCATTTTGGGCGAAGGAAATGTGTAGGTGTTGGTCCAGCGTTTTGGGGAAAGTGATAAGGATTCTGAGTGTTTTGGGCGGAACGCTCTGAGTGGTTCGATATCTAGACTTTGCTTTTCGCTGGGAACGCTCAGAAAGCCAACGTGAAGTATGAACGCTGCACACGGTCGAGGCGACGTGTACTCCCGGGAGTACACGCGGAAGTTCCTCTTTTCGGCCATTCGAACAGTATTGCGAAAAATATTGCGGCTTATTTTTGGTCCTTTTTGCCGACTTATTTATGTCCCACTAGGATATATTTAACAATCACATCACGATCATTTGTGGAGAACAAAAAATTTGTAATAGAAATATACGCAAAAACAACGCGACTGACTTGTGGGCGAAATGGCCTTCGCCTCGAATGTGTTAATAATAGATGTGGCTTGGTTAGATGCCCAAAAAAATTACAGTGTCTTTTATCATATATTTTTACATTGTATCTCTGATGGGTTTTTCACTTGAATAGATCTGGTAATGACAACTTCCTGCTGGAATGTTCGTCTAATCGTGTACGAGATGAGTGGATGCAAGTTCTGCAAGCGGCGCGCTTACGAAGTGTTAGAGGGCTGAAGGAAGATGGCGTGGTACACGTAAGTTGTTAAATTAATCAAAGAATTACTAGATATTTGGGAGATAAAATGCCTAAGGAAGCAGCTAAATGCCGCTGACAGTAGTTCGTTTGATAGGCTTTTTCAATTCTAACGGAAGGCCATCATTTCCATGTCATGCGGAGACGCCCAACCTACTGACAAAGTGCCACGCGACTTCAGAGTCTGCTGCACATCTGTATCGCGGAATTACTTGGACGCAGTCAGGTGATGAACTCTTCAACTAATGAGCGCTGGAACGAGACGAGCTAGAGACGATAGCATTGAATGGTGTAAAGAAACGAAAAAGGCTTCGTGCATTTCTTGAATAATATTTCAGTTCGGATATCACAGGCAAGCTAACCTGTGTGCTTACCAGACCGAAAAGACATTTTAGTTTATAACTCTTGGTTAATAGCATTGCATTGAAAGAGAATCTAAAGCATCTTGCGCATTCACTTGATTGGTAGAATTCCATCCGCGTATGTGATCTGCAGGTCAACATCCGCGCGAATATACCACTTGAGCATTCGAAATGGCGCGATCGGTGACGGGTCGACGCAAGCTTGTTGAACCACCATGGTAAAACCTGACAGCTCTTGTAAGCTCACGAAGATGGCTCAGCTGGGTCGACACGTCGATGGGAAGTAGCAGAAGTACGAACCCTACCCCCTCTCCCGCGGCCCCCTATCTCCTCCCTGTGTTGCCGAGCCCTCTACGAAATTGCTTGCATGGTAAGACGCCGATACTTGTGATCGTGTAGGTTCGAGTTTCTTGAGACGTAATCGACATATATCGCGCCTTCATCGCTGTGCTCTATCTCAATTCACATATCTAAAATCTTCCTCGCGCGCTCAGTGGTACTTCACCTCTGCTTCTTCTTATACATGTCGAAAAAATGAAATGGAAAATTATGGGCTAGATTTAGGGCGTTTTTGACCGGCTGTTTTAACGACATTTTTTCATAAGTAAGTGAGCTGGCACGGAATCGTCTTGGACCGAGTCATCTAGGTCATGAAAACTCGGAACATGTCTCCAAACAAAGGCTGGAGTGTAACAGGACAGACTGCCTCCGAAAGAATGCGCCTCGAAGGAGAAGGGTTTTTAGTAGCGTTTCCTCTGCACTTGAATTGGTTCTGTTGCTGGTGTATAACTCAGTGTTGCCTTGTGGATACATTTATTCTAATTGACAGAAACTTGCTTTAGGCAAAAGATGACGTTGAAACAACGTTTGATGCACCAAGCTCTACATTTTACTTGACCACAAACGGAGAACTGAATGAGCACAGTATGGCAATGCCCAAGGTGATTTCACTTCTTTTATGCACCATACTGAGTTACAGACGTTGTTTTCTATCAAGTAAACGAATCATATAGTGGCAGGTAACTGCTAAGCCATATCTGGTCTTACATTCCGAATTATTTTTCAGCCAGTAGTTTCGCCAGAAGCTGTCATAGGCCGCATACTGGAGAAGACCAATGAACACCTTGTTGCACCGAAGCGTGCGCTTGAAGGCGTGAGGCGAAGTATACGTTTGAAGAAGGACTGTGAAGTGTGTAAGCAGGTAGGGTTTTGTTAAGTTTGCTTAGCTATACACTTGCATAACAGACAGTACGAAATCCGTTTTTTCTTTGTCAAAGAGCCAGAAAAGAAAACGTTCATCTTACTCCATGCTATGAAACCCTTATTTCCTGCGTATAATGTGCAGTTTACGTAATCTTTACTACAATCTTGTGTCGGTCAATGCGAAGTGAACTACGGGGTTTTTGAGAATTTCTTTTTTAGAATGTTGTTTCCTGATAAGAATAGAATAATGTTGAAAGAGGGGACTTGACATTCTGTCACATACTCATTTCCGGCTCTTTAGGTAATGCTGGAGCAAAACCAGTTCAATGAGGTAATATACTTTGTTTTTGGGATTGTGAGTGACCTGCCCTACTTTCATTCTGTCTTGCTTGCTAGGGTAACTAAATGGGTGCCTTCTTTGCTCACATTTCGCTAATTCGTTTTCAAAGTTTTAACAACATTTTGAGATACCTCAACATAACCATCACAAACGGAATGATCGTGCCACGGTCTCAAATTCTTATAGGTTATGCGAATCTGGAGTGAGGATTGACCCAAGGTTAACGAGGCAAATATATGTAGCCCTCTTATTTGGGGAGGGAAGGCAGAAACAATTCTTGAGCGTTTTGTCAAGGGTTTTGTTGTTTTGCTGGTTATTTATATCTTTCACGGATGCACCAAGAACAGCAGGCGAACTTCCACTTTACTCACTCTTATATGATCACTAGTGTCGGTGTCTGTAGAGAGTTTGATTCCAGATCCTATGTCAGAATACTTTGGGATTTCTGCGGCTTTGATACATAATTATTTCCTGTGAGCTCAACACAAATTCGCGGCGAGCTTTCGCCATTCTCCCCGAATTTGAAAAAAAGGGATGTAGACAAGGCGACATTATCTTGTACGGAGTCTCCGGTGCTTCTGTTGGGCGCGGCAATCGAGCGCGCAGTACTGGAGCCGCAACATATTGAATGTCTTGAAGGGCATCTCTTCATTAGGAATGTGAACCCTCATTTTTTTTCGCTGCACGAAAGTAGGGTAGGGAATGCTTAGACTGGATACGCCATGCGTTTCGATCTGGTAGAATCAGAGCGTTGAAACACACTATTCCATCAAGATATAACACGAGCATTGCAATCCCTGGTTTCGGACAGATGTCTTCATAAAGCCTCTCAAGACCTATGGACTTTCGAACTCGTACGACTTGAACTCACGGCGGTATTTTTGTACGTTGTTTCCGCTCAAGCGCTTCCATATCTTGTGGAAGCACGGCCACATAGCTGTTCTCTTGGGCAAGTTGTGTGTTCCCAAGTGGCCCTTCTACAATCCACAGAAGCTCTACATATTATCTAAAAGAAGAATGTTATCCGAAGGATCGAAAGAGAGCAGGTCCTCCAAGTGAGTGGACTGAATAGTGCTGTTCGGAACATACTGTGCAGCTCACGATGAATTCAAAGTTGCCCATTTATGCTTTGCTGCGGTTAATGGGGATGTCAAACATTTTTCAAACGGAAGAAGAGACCGGTAGAAACAGATGTTCGAAAACTCACAGTTACTACCTGCCTCGCTTACAGAGTGTTCAGTTTTTTTATTTTGTCGGTTCGTTTGGTACGGCCTTGCTCGATCTACGTCAAATATCAAGTGCACCAATTTGCTTTATAGTGCTACTGGGATGCGAGGATAAAGTACTAAAGGCTAACTTCAACTTTAACCATTTTGTACCGTAATGCCGCCAAGGCATCAAAGAAATCGCTGTTGCGCAACGCTAACATCGGATCGTTTTTGACGATGAATGTACTGAAATGTGTGAAATGTTACACACCGCTCAACGTACGCTGTTAAGCTCCCTCCAAAGATTTGTTCTTCGCCAAAAGCGATGTGAAGGGGTCTGGAGTTGTGGAAGCGTGCCTCTTTCGTTATTCGGAACTAAGGATGCTGGGTAGTGGTAGCTTAATACCATTCGGCCACAGCGAACATAGTACGCTGCCTTACCAGCTATATCCCTAGCTGAGCCGATCGCGCTTCTTGTGTGCGCATCACTCGTTTGGTTAGGGATACGTTCCAGGGCTTCCTTGTGGTGGGTTCTAAACCGCGCGTTAGCCATGTGAGGCGTGTGCTACAGCATCACACTACGTATTACAAGTTTTCCTACGGTTAGAAATGCAGCAGAACTCCGTAAGTTTCTGCTGATCAATATCAGCCAAGTGATGGCGTAGGCGCGTGGTAATCAGTGGGCGGCGATCCTCCTCAGCATCGATGTTCTTATTCCCTTTTTGTGAGTTCTGACACTGATGACAACAAGGATTTCATGTTGCCTGTCGCAGCCGGAAGGTACAGTACATTAGTGAATTACCGAGCTTCTGGAATTCATTAATCGCTTTCTTGGATACGTCACGCTCTTGACTTCGAATCAGAGAAGTGGCGTGTCTTTGGTCCATATTTGGTCTAAAAATTGTCCTGAGGAAGCCAGCTGGTGCTTTCATAAACGTGATTTATTATATGTTTAGATGATTTCTTTTTCATTTTCTTCCTAGGGAAGTCAACCTTCAAACCGATACATACGGAGCGAGTGTAACATCAAACAAAAACTAGTTCTTTCGAACTCGGGTCCTGCAAAACATGAACTCTTTTTCCTGGAAAGGGCTGCCACTGCAGTATTCAGTGAAGACCCCGTGCGCTCACGTCTTGAAAAAGGTGGCGATATGCTTGCAGGCCTCTGAAGAAAGCGACGTTGCCGAAACGTCTGGCTGAATAAAAACGTTGAATCATTCAACAAAAACCTGTTTTGGCACACTACAAAGCGAGCTTCATTAAGATTCAAATACCGTTCTTCCGACGAGAATTCACTGTTTTATTTCGCGCTTTATTTTGTTGAAACTCTTTCGCTTGAGAGCTTATTGTAGGTTGCTTATTCCCTATTCTAATGAATTTCGGTAAAACGTGATGATGTCGTGATGATATACAGGGGGGCCAAAAAAAAGTCATTCCGGCCGAGTCACATATGAGCGAAGTTTTCGCAGCCCAGACAGAGGAAGTGGATATGAGTACCAGGGCGGAAGATACCCAAGATCTTCCTCTATAAGCAGGAGCCGGCTGCCGCCATTCACCTTCATGTACACCAAAATATGAAGTCATCTCCAGTCGCGGCGGCCTGAGTGGAGAACGCGCCTTTGGAATTCACGTGGCCTCCAAACAGCTGCGGAACTTCTTGAATGGAATCACCCATGGATAGCTACCTGGAGACCAGTACTCTTGATCTGCAAGACCTCAAACATCGAGCAGCTCCGGCAACGTCGCTACGGTCCAGGACATCATCTTCACCCCATTCACCAAGGCGCGGGTTGATGGTGTGGACCGGCCGTACCTGGAATGGGAAGACCGATATTTTCTTTGTAGACCCCGACTGAAGGTGAGCGCTGGCGGTTACATCAAGTAACTCGAGAAGGATATCCTCCCTACATGTGGTCGCCCGTACCTTCTTGGAGACCTTGTGCTGCTACAGGTTTGGGTGCCACCACATGGAATCGAAGGGTTTTGGAAAAACTCCCGCCTACTTCGAATGGAAGGGCGTTTCGTACCTGATGAAGATGTAATATTGAAATATGTCCCCTGACCTGAACCCAATTACCTAGTTCGGGCGGAGCTCAACAGGGTGGTCTACAGTGGCGGAGAAATCAACGATCTCGCTCAACTCCGTACCCACTCACTTTCGCGCGGCCGAATCTCTCGATGGCGCTCCTCCAGAAGGCTGTGGCGGAGTATCATTATAGTATTTAATGTGCTCTTTAATATGGTAGTAAAAATGTCCGATAAAAATTTAATAAAGTGTAACTTATAGCGCCTTGAAAGTCATGGAGGCAAAATGACTTTTTTTGGCCCCCCTGTATTCGAGTGATGGGCCGCCTAGCTCTCGGTAGCCAGATACGCGCCCACGTTGGGTCACATTCTATATAGGCGCGTATATGAGACTAAGTTCATACTTCAGGACTCTAACGGGTCAATTCTTTTGCCAAAGCACGCCTCTGAGTCATGAAGTATGAGCGCGTCTCAAAATCTGGGATATCTCTCTCATAAAATTCGGTGATATGTTGATTACCGCCGCGGCACGCACCATCTTCGCTTCATAATTTGCTTAGCAAATGAATGAATACGAGCGTCAGGAACGGTCGTCCATTTGTGGGCGGGCGGGCGTTTGGGTCGGAATGTTGTGGCTTGATAGGGCCCTTATAAGGGCACCTCCCTTGGAAAAGGCATTATGCAGCGCCTGCTCAGGGTCGCGGAATTCCGTCCTGCCAGGCGTATTAATCCTACTCGTCTTGGGGGATTTATCGTGCCAACTGCCTTTAATAACATTTTGGATTACGATGCTAATGCTCCGATGTTGAATTTGCCTTCAGCACTTATTCAATGCTAACATAACCAGTTGGTCTAGTGTCTGTCTGGGTATCTTCTGCGTTTCCTACTACAACATTCTCAAAAAGAAGTAAGGTTCATGAGCATTTCTTCCCACAAACCTTTCGTTTAGAGCACAGAGTCGATGAGAACTCGATGTGTGGAACTAGAAGACGTGAACGCGGCCCTCAGAGAGACGGTGGACAAGCTACAACGTGGCTTGTTATTAGCTCGAAATCAGAATGAGATTCTGTGAGTGTTTTGCTCTCTCTACAGAATTTGACTTTTCTGATCATCTGTTTGATTTTTAACTGTTTTATTGCTGTTGTTCAAGCTGCCTCTCACTAGATCCTTATTCATGTGCTTGGAATTCTAGGCAGCGAATAAAGACACTGACATGTGATGACGATACAAGGGCTTTGCTTCTTGCCAAGGAAACCGAGATCACTAATTTGCAGTTGTCCAACAACCAACGTTGTCGGCAGATACGAGAGTTACAGACGGAGATCAGGTCAGAAATCGTTATATGGGTAGAGGCTATCTTGGGGTGCACCTTCGTCTGACTGTGAGTGTTATCTTATGGAATCACTTTATTAACAGGGACTCGAAGAAGTAACAGAAATG